TATTCGAAGGTTCTATGTGACTTACAGTAGTAATGTAACTAATCCATAGGTAGGGTTTGTGGCGATTGTATCGTTGGTCGCCACGGTGATGGGCGGGCCGGCGGCGCCGCAGCCCTTGCGTACGAGCTTTGTTGTCCCAGAGCTGATAACTTCTCGAAACGATCCATCTCACTGTCAGCGTTCGAGCACGTACCTTGCTTCATGACAACTCGAGTAAGCACGGTAGTGCTACTCTGCTAATCCCGCGGTGTGGCCCGGTTGGCTCACGATAGAATCGCCCGTCTCCTCGTAGGTCTCTTGTTTGTTAGTTTGATGTGTTGTTACCCAAAGCTTACAGGCAACTCTGAGCTTTATAAATACTCCTAGTCATTTTTCACCAGATTCTTGACTTCAGCTTTATTTATTTATTTATTTATTCTCGATTGAGCTATTTTTCGAATTGCTAGTTTTATTAGGGGACAATCAGTTTTGTTTCGTTTTAAATGGATTTCCACGAAATCGTTAGGCAGCATCCATACTTTGCGAATATGGAGTATTTTCCAAAGAGTACGTGAAGGGGAGAATCGCCGATCATGGAAGGTATGCGTATAGATCTAGAGAATGGGGAGCTTTGGAAAATGCGCGACCCAGAAGAATGTGCGACACGGCTAGATGAGGATTGATGGACTGCGAATTTGAGACTCGCTTTCATCGCTCATCGCTCGCGTGATCCGAGCGGTCGGATTGCGAAGTATGAACGCGCTCTTATTCTCGTATTCTCCGGCGGCTTTGATAGGCAGTGTCAATCGTTTCCGAGTTAGTTCTTTCTCGCACATTCTGCGAAATCGCCAATTTTTCGGATTAATGCGCATACGTTCTTTAATCTTGGAATCTCCCGATTCATCCATTCTCCCATTTTGTTTACGCGTATTCTCAAAGTATGAACGTGGTCTCAGGCATCGGTTACCCTATTTCTCATCATAGGCAGAGGTACATGGTATAGAAATTCATGTCGAGCGTCCTTACTCTGATCAGTTAACCGGGTGTGTGACAAGACAATTGTAGTATGCCGCACTGAGCGTCGCGAGCAACGCCGCGCACGCTAGGTACGAGTTGGCCACTCTGCCGTGGAGATATCACATGACATTTACTTTTGCCTTCGCTCAAATTTGCGTGAACTCCTCTGCTTCAATCGGCAAAATGATTGACTTTGATGCGCCAACGACGGTGCAAGAAGTCGCGATTGTCTTGTCTCTCTCCCCAGTTCCCAGTTCCTGCCGGGAGCTGTGCGCTCGATATTGTTGCTTCTTCCTGCGCCATTGCTTATGGATTGGTGCTGTCTTGGTTCGGAGGGGCCACCTGGCGGCTTGTGTCCATTCCCATGCCCAGAGCTCGGTCTTAGTCGAGCGCAGATGTCCAGAGTGGGCGCGAGGCAGTTTTGCAGAGCAGACATACACTCCGTACCCCGCAGGAGAGAGCGTGGCTGCGTACTTCAGTCGAAGATGGCGTGAATGATTTCTCGTGGGATACCATTCTACACATGACTGCAGTTGTCCCGAAACGATTGTATCCCACAAAATGCGAGCCTCCGCCACGTACAAGCCAGCCAGCGGGATATGGAATGCAATTGCAGTGTTGCGTGGTCCCTCCCAACTACGTTAGCCTCTGTGTGCGTAGACCTTATATGGACAAATTGTATATTCTGGTATTATGACCGATTGCTTAGGAAAAGTTGTCAAAATAAGTGATCTGTAAAATAATACAATCTGAAATACCAATATGCTAATCTCTTTTGAATGCATTAAAAGTTTATGATTCTTCATTGTAAACATATTTCATTTCTAGTGTATAGCAGTGCATCCCAAGTGTTGTGTTGTCTCACTCCTCACATTGCTCTTATAAGTTCCACTTTATTACTGATGTTGTCATAGAAGCACTCACATTCACCTCTATATTGTACCATTCAAGAGTGTCATTTATTCTAATTTTCTTTAGAACTCACTAGTTTGTATGTGAATTCACTACTCAGCGTAAACGAGCTTTTGTTTTCTTTTGGTGGCGGTTGATTGGTTTGGTTGTTATGAACTTCTAATAGGGCCAAGCTCTTGAAAGCTTCTTATACGGTAGAGCCTTGATAAAAATGTGTGAAATCTTGTTTCCTTTTCATCAGGAGTTTTACCCTCATCGATATTGAAGCTTCACTAGTGTGTGAATGATTCCTTACAAAAACCTCAGTTCGCGATTAGGTGACGGCGGCACCACTATGCGATTAGAATGCGACGTGATGATGATGAAAACGAGTTGCTGTGGAGCATCGAAAGCTGGGCCGTTGTCATCAAAATGTAGTAAAGGAATCGTGAGGCTCGGCAAAAATCATACCAAGGTACTTTTCTGTTTTTTTTTCATACTTCAATTCAGGTGAGGCTAATCTCTTGCTCTATGGGTGTGTAACACAACCAAGAGTAAAAGTTTGCAAATTGGCAGTTTTCACGTCCCAAATGTCACGCCTTCTGCTTTTTCTCCACCAGTCGTGTTCTGCTATGCTGTTTTCGGTGAGAAGGTAGTTGTGACCTGCTGCACTATAGCAAACAGCCAACGTGCGGCGATTCACGGCGGATCCTCGATGTGTATTAGTTTCTCTGTTAAAGCATCCAAGCAGAGGCAAGACTCCACGCCAAGATAGCATAGGGTTCTCCCTTCCCTTTATATGAAATGCCAACCGCCGTGAAGAGCAATCGCCGCTCGCCACGCCCAGCTCGACATATACGATTAAAGACAGCCCCCGCGCTCAAGTAGTACATGGTCATCCTTCCTTGTGCAAGTAGTACAGCCCCCAAGCTAGAGACTGTCCCTCTCGCGACTCCACAGCGAGCGAGGAGCGAGCTACAGCTGCTGAAAGCTCTAGTTCTAGTTCTAACGCCCGCCCAGTTGGACCGCCCACTTGCTAGATGCCCTCTGACGGAGGGCCGCTCAGTTGTTCTTTGTTGGGGCGGCGGGCATTAATCGGAATTGCATGCCCTTTTGCTGAGCTCGTGCCCATGAATAATTCTGCTCTCTTTTATTACATTTCATTTGTTAGGGGCACATACAGTCAACTCCAACCCATCTTCCGGGATAAAACGCGTAAAGACCATGAGCGACCTGGTTTCTGCTCTCTTTTATTAAATTTCATTTGTTAGGGGCACATACAGTCAACTCCAACCCATCTTCCGGGGTAAAACGCGTAAAGACCATGAGCGACCTAGTTTTCGTGGTGCAAGCTCGAGGCACTACACTACACTGAAAGATGCACGCTACCATAACCCTAATTTCGGACG